CCTTGAATGTAGTTTATTGTGCAGTTGTAGCTTCTGCCCCAAGAGGTGTAACATCATCGTTAACGACTTCGAGAACTTCTTGATACCCAAACAAAACTTCATTTGCTTGCACCATTTGTCATAGTTATTAGAATCAATAATTGGAAGGTTGGTAGGGATTCGATCACTGAAAATGGTAGACATAATTTGCAACGGGTTAATGGATCAGAATCAGACTCTTGATGTCAAATGTTGGAACATACACAAAATAAAGTTAGTGAATTAATGTTGAAAATTGGTTAATTGGAGAAGATGAAGTTAAGAGAGAAAGATAAAGATTTATTAGAGAGAGAGAAAGTAATTGAGGAGAAAATAATTGACATTGACATTAACTAACTCAATCATTACAAGAATGTTTTTACGATGTGCTAAAAATTAACACAAAACAAAACACACTCAAAACTATTACAAACAGCAAATTAGAAAAACTAAAATTCGCAGCAGAAATTAATTTCCATAAATGAGAAAACCAATTTCTTTTTCGAAACTTCATGTTTCAACTGAAGGCAAAATAATTTTTCAAATAAGTTATTTTCTCAAAACAGTTTCCAGAAACTTCCAAACAATATTTAATTTAAACATAACAACTAATATAAAAAAAAGTTCTAATCTTAGTAACGTGTCCCCTCTTACACAAAAAAAAAAAAGGTTTATTAGTATCCAAGAGGTGGTGGATAGGAAACAACTTTTTAGTAAGAAACTTGACATATTTTTTAATATCGCAACTTCTGTTATTTCTTTAAAATTCTACTAACACACTTTGTTTTGATTTAATTCAATTAGCACATTATCAGATTATCCCAGCTACCCAATTAAAGAATCACATTGTAGAATAAGTTTATAACAATAATGTATCAATCAATCCACTAAAAAGTATATTTTGTTGATACAATAATTATAAAGTTTGGTGGCAAATTAATCGGTGAATGATATGATTTGTTTTGTCACCCTACACTTCACCCCACCACAGAGGGAAAAGAAAAAGAGTCCTTAAGCGTGAGTGTTGGTTTGTTATACCAGCCATTTTGCATCCTTTAATTTGGAAAACATTATTTGGCTACTTTGTCTATCAAACAGGGTCATGCCTCTCTCTTTTGAGAAATTATTTAAGGGTTAAGAAAATTATATTAGTTTCAAAATTGCCACTTTTTTCATGATTCAGAAAGAGAGTTTATGCATGAATAAGCACTATTAGGCATACCTAATTTATAGGTTTACTAGGGTATGATTAAAGTCTTTTGACTCATTAATATTTACCCTTTGATTTCTTTAACATTTATTGGCACTTAATTAGTGATTATCCGATTATTAGAACTTAATTTGGCTAACATTCAACCGTCTAGCACTTCTTTTTGATAATGTGAATCTTCCAAGAAGATGTCCTAATAAATTATCGATTTTATCGACTTAAATGTGAGTATATCTTCTAAGTTGATGTGAATAAATATATAAATTGGGTAGAGGTTTTTCACAAAAAGTAAAACCACTAAAAAATATTTTAAATATTTAAATTATTGATATTTATTAAATAAAATTCACTTTATATTATATTATTGAAAGTTTATTGAGAGATAAATTGAATATGTTTAACTATTACTTTTTTAAAAAAAAATTTATGGGTTAGATTTTATGTTTTCATCCATTTTGTTTTTTCTATTTTATTTAAGAAATTATTTTATTACAAAGTATTTAAATTATTAATATTTTAAATTTTATTTAAAAAATATCAATGTGTTTTATTTCATTAAAAAAATTAATATTATTATATTTAAAAAATATTATTAGTTTAATAAATATTAAATTAATTAATTTTATTATTAATTAAATAATAATTGTAAACTAAACCAATCTCATAATTTAATAATTTATTACTTTTATGTTTTATGTGTTAGTTAAGATAAATAAGTTTGAATTTTTGATGCCAACAATATTTTTTTACTTTTTATATTATATTAATATAAATAATTATTAATACTTAAAAATTGATAGTTTTATAAAGAATATTTAAAAATATTATTACAAACATTAAAGTCTATTTTATTAAAACTGATCTTATATATTGGTCCATGTTCAATGTCAGATAGCAGTATTTTTTATTTTAAATAAATTATTAATATTTATAAATTAATAGTTTTATAAATATTTATTGAAAATAATTACTATAAACATTGAAATTTTATTTTATTAAAATTTATTTTATACTTTATCCGTCTCATTATATGTGTTTTATTTGAAAAATGTGCGGTTCTTAAGAAAATAATTATATATATTAATTTTAGTGAAAAAGTTAATTTTATTTACTAAAACATATTTATTAATTATAATTAATAGAATAGTTGAATAAAATAAAAATTAATAAATAAAAATATAATAGTGAAAAAATAATAATAAATGATGCATTGAAATTGTAAATAGATAATTAGTTTGAGACAAAGAAAAAATATAAATAATATATTTATTATGAGATTGAGAGAATATTATATTTTATTTATTTCGTTTTAAAACTATCACTTTAATAAATAAAATTTATTTTAAAATTGTCATTCACACTTTTAATATAGAAATAATTATTATTTTTTTAATTATACTTTTTAATTATTATTTTTTTACATATTTTTTAATATATTAATATAGTGAGTTTGATAAAAATAAAATACTTTATGACAATATTGTTTTATTTTTTAATTAGTATGAAAAACTTTAAATTATAGTGATTTTAAAACAGAAAAAGTAAAAGATAATTATTAGATTTCTATGGAGGTTTAACTAACATAGCAAGGGAACGTGAATATTTTGTTTCTTCCAGCTAAGTACACGTGTGTGATTTGTTCTAGCACTGTGTCCTTGTTACTTTTTGTCCTTGTTACTTTTTCATATTTTAATCATTATAGCAACTTCTCACTTCTCAGTCTTAGATTGAGCAGGGGTAGATCTGTATAACTAGTTTAATGGATATCCATTGTTATTTAATACTTTTCTATTATAAAATGAGTGTTGGTTAAGGTTTTTATACATAAATTAAATAAAGTAATAATAGTGTCATAATATATTATATTTTTATTATATTAATTTTATAAATATATTGAAAGTAGTGTAAGTAATAATTAAAAGATATAATTAAAAAATAATAATTATTTTTATATTAAAATGTGATAATGACATTTATTTTAAAATAAATTTTATTTGTTAAAACGATATTCATTTTGAAAAGAGAAAGTAATTTTACACTTTTATTCAATAATAAATCAACAGTTAGTCATATTATAATTTTTTAAAATAAAAACGTAATATATTTTAATATACAGTCATAATTAGTTTACAGTTTAAAATTAATTTATATTTATCATCACCTATTTTTTCAACTTTTTATCGTATTCATAACTTTCTTACCGTTGAAGTAATCATATTTAAGAGTGGTAGTTAATAGTACTAAATTTGAACATTCCTCAAATGATAGAAGTTTAAATTCTTCTAGTAAACATAATCTTTGTTGATAACATGAGAAAATTAGTCTTATATATACAAAAAAACACTAATATAATATTAAGTTAGTTTGGATCTAAATTTTAAGATGTTATTAGAATCATTCTGAAATAATTAAAAAATTTGCTATTAAATTTCAATTATTTATTCAGTTGAATTGTTCGATCTTAAATATAAATAGATATATTTCAGATAGACAAGTCCGTTAGTCATCCTAAATTTAAATAGCGTGATAACTTTATTATTGAAAATTTAAATATTTTTAAAGTAGTCTTATTCATATTAAAATTTGTGGTAAGAATGTATTAATGTATATACATGTATCTATAAGTGTATGTGAGAAGATGAAGAATGAGAGTTGAGATGATGCCTAACTTAGCATGTGTTTAGATTACATCCCCTCCCCTTTCTCTTATACTAGTCAAGTCATATCCTTAAAATATATATAGTATAGACACTAGGTCAAATACTATACTATATTCTGTTTGGTATAAATTTAACAAAACAGTATTCTTAATCACCTGCATGAATGAACTTGCCCTCTCCTCTTAGAGACGTGTTTTGACTTCCAATCTTTTCCGTTTGCTAAATATTCATATATTTCAGTTACTTAATTAATTGAATTTCAAACGATTCTTTCACCTTTTTTAATTGCAATTTGCTTTGACAAAGACAAACTCAACATGAACACTTCACCAAGTTTATCATTGTTAATCTTCATCTCTCTTTACGGCTTAACTCTTATCTCTTATTTTTACTTTTACATATTTAAGCACTTTTTTTTTCACCATACCCTCCAAAACAATTAAAGACATGTTTGGATAAAGTGATAAAATCAAAATAATCCAGTCAAAATCGATATAAGTTGGTACGTGTGTATGCTCACGTATATTATAATATATTATATAAATGCTTGTTTTGACTCTATAGGTATACAACTCAATTCAAAAATGATCACTGTTTCTTTTTCTTTCTCTCTCTTTCTCTAAAAGAAACCGACTCTAGTAAAGATTTTCAGAGGGTGGTGCTATTAGTTCCAACTGTGCCACCACCAATAATTTTTATAGAGGGTGGAAGCTAGAAAATAGTAATTGAGGTGCAACAAAATCATTGTTCTAGTGTGATTTTGTAATTATATGATCTTTGTTTCTTGATTTTCAGAATTGGATGAGAAGGAATAATTGAAGAAATTTGAGGTTTGAAGATTTTGTTACATATCAGACACAGCTTATAAAAAAAAAACATATCAGACACAGCAGAGAGTTAAGGTTATATGTGTTTGTTGATATAAATAAATAAAAGTGGCGAATCAAAGGGATTCAGGAAAGTTCGTGAAGTTGAGTGAGGAAGATGAGAAAGAGGAAGAAGGTTTGAGACAAGATAGTGGATTGAACAACCAGCAACCTTTGCAGCAGTATGGGTTGGGCCAGGCCCAAAATGAGTGGGCCCAAGTCCAACAAGGAAGTGGTTTTTATCCTATGAATATGATGTCAGGTTTTGTTCCTGTCTCGTCTTCTAATTCTCCTCGTGTGTATCCTTCTAGTGGTTCTGGTGGTTCTGGTTCGTGGGTTGGACACAAAAGAGGTCGTGAAGATGCAGTTGTTGGTTCTTCTTCTCATCAAGATATCACCACGGTTCATAGAAATATTGCTGATTTCATATTACCTACTTCACATGAAAACTCACCGTCAGGTTCAATTGCTTTCATTTTCCCTCTCCTTATCTATGAAGCATCAATGCCTCTAAAAAAATATACGTTTGTATCAGTGTGTCAAACACTTACACCGACACAAATTAACATCACACACCGATACTTGTAATTAAGATCAATTAATTATATTTTTTTAAATTATTATCAATATCAACGTGTCAGTCCGACGTTGGTGTCTGTGTTTCAGAGGACCTAAAACATCTATATAACTAAAATATGCTATTGTGGGTTTTTTTGTCTTTGATTAGTTCAAAATACTCACCTATACCATTTCTACAATAGTGACAGAAACAACTGCAACTGCAACTACACCTACACCTTCAAGTACAAGCAATGCAACGCAGTCTAGTGAAGCAGCTTCAACAAATGAAGAAGAAACCGGAGAGATAAGAAGAAGATACAGAGGAGTTCGACAGAGACCATGGGGAAAATGGGCAGCAGAAATTCGGGATCCACACAAAGCAGCAAGAGTATGGCTCGGAACATTCGACACTGCAGAAGCTGCAGCAAGAGCTTACGATGAAGCTGCATTAAGATTCAGAGGAAACAGAGCCAAACTCAACTTCCCTGAAAATGTTACAGCAACTCAACAACGAACTTTTCCGGTGAATACTTCGTCTTCAAGCCTATCTATTTCTCCTGCACAACCGCAAATGCAGCCCCAACAACCACCACCGTTTGTTCAATTTCAAGACTCGTCTGAGTTGTTAAGAGACTATTATCAGTATTCTCAGATTCTGAAAGGTTCTGGTGATCTTCAAGGACTTGAGCAATGGTTCTACGAACCACAAATGGCCATGATTCATCCATCTTCTACGATGTTATCGCCGTCCCCGTCCCTTTCTTTGTCGTCTTCTTCATCTTCAGCTACATTTTCACCTTCCAGTCAATTATCCTCTGCTTCACTTCCTCTGTTTCCTGGTCAGCAAATGGAGTTTTTCCGGCAGCCGGAAGATCACTCTCGTAGCGGTGGTACCTTCCATTTACCACCTTCAACATGGTCAGATACTGGTGGCTATCGTCCTCCTCCACCGCCACCTTCTTCTGGTTGATATAGTACAATGGAATATTTATATTTATATACACATCAATGTTTTAAAAATCCACTATAAACACTTAAGCAATTTCAGTTGAGATACATGTTATAACACCGATTGCAGCGATTTCAGTTGAGATACATGTTATAACACCGGTTACAGCAATTTTAGTTATAACACCGATTGCAGTCGTGTGATATAAATTAATATGAAAAATGATTGAATAATGATATTAGTATTGAGATTTTAGTTGATATATATGTTATAACACCGATTACAGCGATTTTAGTTATAACACCGATTGCAGTCGTGTGATATAAATTAATATGAAAAATGATTGAATAACGATATTAGTATTGAGATTTCAGTTGATATATATGTTATAACATCGATTACAGCGATTTTAGTTATAACACCGATTGCAGTCGTGTGATATAAATTAATATGAAAAATGATTGAATAACGATATTAGTATTGAGATTTTAGTTGATATATATGTTATAACATTAATATAAAAAATGATTGAATAACGATATTAGTATTGGTATCCTATTATCATCTCATATCGTTTGTTGGATTTTTTAAATCTTGATATACATAACTTCTTTATTATATTTTAAAACAAAATTAAATATTATTTTTTATTACTTGCAAACAACAACAACAACAAAAAAAACAAGGTTTTTTATAGTGTTATTGATTTTGAATGATTGGGAGTTCATTGAGTTGGGTATGTAGTTTTGGTTATTTGTTTATGTTATGTTATTGGGATTAAATAATTGAAGATTGAGTGATGATGAAATGTAGTAGAATTTGGGGTTAGAACTAAGTTAGGTAAACTATTTCACGGTCTAAGGTCTAAATCACAATAGGTTTGGGACAAGTTAGGATTATTAGTTGAATAGTTAATTAAAGTTTTGGACTTCTCTCGGCTCGTTATTGTATAATAAAGAAAATCAATCAATGTTTTTGAAAGTCTTCTTTTTGACTTTAAACCTATTCTAAATCTTATCTTAGCTATTCCAATTACTTTTTTATTGTCAAAATCTTAGTTATCCAAGGTGACAACCGCACGAGTAGTTTAATTATAAAAATATTTATTATACTTCAAAAAATTATTCAAAAAATTACTAGTATTGCATAATCTTGAAAGGATAAGCATTAAAAAAAAAAGACAAGAGACGATTTGTTAATGTAACAACATTGTCTTAACACTTAGATAGGAGCAATAAAGAATTAAAAAAAGTACTAATCTTCAAAAGATAATCATGTCATAAAAATGACACCAAATAATCTGTTAATTTGTTATTGTCATAACACAAGACTGAGTGTTAATGTCATAACACTAAAATAGTATCAAGAGAAGAAATAAAATTTACAAAGAATTATGAAATTGAATAGAGTTGTAACATCAATCTTTAAAAGATTTTTTCTTCAAAAAGAAAGGAAAATATAAAGGTTTGTTATGTACACAAATGCAATAGATATTTTGCATGCTATGATAAAGTATAGATAAAAAACAAATCTATTAAATATTTTGGAAAGTTTTCTTGATTACGGTATTAGTAATAGTACTCATAGTTTGTTTATCTTTGTCATGAATAAGAATTTTAAGATATTTTTTTAGATTTAACTCTAGAGATAGTCACATACAATTGACTATGACTAAAGACTTTTTTTGGTAAATATAAATCAACATTGTTTAAAGATTTCTTTTTAAGATTTATTAATTGTCATGGCAAACAAAACAATTATTCGAAATTGGCGTCTCACCAATTTAAATGGTCATGGTGATTGTGAGGGAGACAAAGACATTTTAAGAATATAAATGATGTTATCAATATTTTTTTCCAGAGATGATATTTGCTTCAATGACATGATTAGCAAGTCTCGTCACAGTGGGTCGTGTACCATTACACAAGCCTTCAAATTAATCAAGGATCCACATAAGCATTATAGTCGCCCAAACTTTCAACTTTATTGAATGATTAGGCAATCCAGAAGTTTTAAGAGCATTTAGGAACTCAAGTGTGACATGCTCATATGCATCAAAGCTAGTAGCATCAGATTTATCTATAGAATCACTACTAAAGTATTCTTTCTTTTCTCTTACAACAATTGTAAAATATACTTAATGAGAAAAAATATTACATAACGTATTTAGTATTAACATAATTAAGTAAGAATAAATGCGATTTGAATGCCTGGAAGAAGGTTTGTGATATATTGGTTGATATCATCAACTACTTCAATTGTTGATATCATCAAGATAGTTTTGAATGAGATTAGAGTATGTATCCTTTACAATTTCCTTAATAGGATCTGAAAATTTTGAAATTAACAACTCATCTGAAATAATGATATCAGCATAACTATCATTTGGCTCACACATGGTCCCATCTCCAATTTGTAACATCCACTCAAAAAATCCCCTAATTTCTTCTGTTGTAGAAGTAGGTTCACCACTTTGCAAGCGCATGTTCTTTGTAAGCTTGGGGACTCTAAAATGATCTCAAATATAGAAGCATTGATGGTGGTATGGATGATATCATATATAGTACCTCTTGGTATAACAGGGAGAATTTGCCTAAAGTCACCACCAAGCACAACAATCTTACCTTCAAATTTTTTATCAGAACCATTTGTAGTTCCACTCATAATATCTTTTAAGGATTTGTCAAGGGACTCAAAGAAAAACATGTTAGTCATATGAGCCTCATCCCATATGATTAAATCATTCATCTTTAGAAGCTCAGCGAGATCTTTTTTTTATTAATGTTACAAATAGAAGTTTCTAAAGTAGGAAATGAAATCTTAAATCTAGAATGAGTTATTCTTCCACCTGATAACAACAAACTTGCAATCCCACTTGAGGAAACAGGAAAGACAATTTTTTTCTTATACCTGAGTACTATTGATAAATTGTTCCACATAAAAGTCTTACCAGTCCCACCGTAGCCATATAAAAAAAAACACCCCGCATGTTTGCTTTTCTACTGCATCCATGACCTCTTCAAAAAATACTTCTTTACTCATCTATAAATAAGAGAAGTTAGCCATAATTGTTAGTATGATAATAAAGATTAAATTTGTAAAAAAAATTAAATGTAAAGTCATTTTACCTGTAAGAGAAGAGTATAAATTTAAAAAAAGTTGTTATTGAGCAATCAAATCGTATTGACGCTCATTATAAATTATTCTATTTCCTATAAAGGAGACAACATAATATTTTAGATATGGCATTGGCTTATAGTCCTTCAAACTTTTATTATTATTTTGTAATAGTGTCTCAATAGCCATAAGTGCCAGTTCTTTGAGCTCGTCATCATGGAGTGTCAAATCTAAGATAAAAAAAAATTTAATGTAAGGTTTGACACATTTGTATTTGAAGAAAAAATAGAAAAGCTAAAGATAGGATTTATGTTATACCTTTATTTCTTGCCAACAATCGTTGTTCATAAAGAATACCATCAGATAAATATGTCAAGTTTTTCTCCAAACATGTTCAGGTCTATTCATGGATGAAGATAACAACATAATAACAAATAAATTACGTAAAAACAAACCAGAACCCCAAACATGTGCCTCTTTGATTGCCTCAATAAATTCTCTATCATCTTGTAGAAACCCCATAGCAAAGTATGCTCCTTTAAAGGTTTTATGTTGGATACCATCAACTTTCTTGATGTCTTTATAACATAAAAGGCCTTTCTTGACAGTTAACATCATTCTTAAATAACATAGTTCACATGTGCTTTGAGGAACCCAAATAAGACGATCAATGGTATATCCTCTTTTCTTTGGCTTCCAACTCTAACTTCGTTTATAATAAACAAATTTAGAAACAAAGTCACCATAATTTAATAATCTTACTTCTTCATAAGTGTTGTTTGCCTGAAACCAAGTTGTAAACATTAACTCGGTAACACTTGGTTTGAGCAAAACATTACCAACTTACTTGTAGTCTTTTTAGTAAACCGAGTTTTCTCCTTCCATATGAAAAAATAATCTCTTTGCGGCTCGCTTTCTTCCGTGTGTAGAATATGAAAATATCCTCCAACATGCTTCGCTTGGGGAGATGTATCGACAATCCAAATGTTGCTTGATCTCGTCAGTGTTATTTTTGTCAGTATGTGTAGTATTGTTTGAACCTTGGATTACAACAAAAATTTGATCAGAACCTTTGTTTATCTATTTGAATAGGTATTTTATAGAAGTACTTTGATTGCACAATTCCATGTTGATGTGGGCTTCGTACTTCAACAATAAACTTGGGTTGTGAGGAACTACATGTCCATTGTGAAGGATTACTCATTTTTTATCAATTGTGTGTCTATTGTTTCTTCTCCTATAAACTGGATAACCATCTTGGTGAAGAAGTTAAAAACACAAGAAGGGGGGGGGGGGGGGGGGGGGGGTTGAATTGAAATCTTAAAATCAAAAGTAGTTGACACGATATTTTTATCCTGGTTCGTTTGAACTCAAACTACTCCAGTCCACCCGCCAAGGTGATTTCGCCTCTCTCCAACGAGGACTTAATTCACTAATCAAACTTGATTACAATTCTACTTTAACAACTGTTAAAGTCTTCTTGAGTCCAAAACCACAACCCAGTTTTCTTAAGGAAATTCACTAAACAAATAATTGTATAAAAGAGTACAATGATGTTTCTAAATAAACAGTATCACAAACTTGTGATGTATTACACAATTTAATATTGAGTCGTTGAAGATGAAGAACGAAAGTTGCTTGTTTACTTTTTCACGTGAGTATTTCTTTATGAGCGCAGTACTTCATCATCTTGAAATCTTCTTCTTGTCAGCTTTAAATAGGCCTTGCAATAGTGACATAAAAAGATACTTTTGGTATGTCCATAACACGCGTTAATGAGCTTTCCAAATCAGGAGATCCTTGTCTGTTTGTAGCCGTTACTTATGATCTTGCATTGATGGATTTGTAACGCTTCAGAGCTTCTAACATCAGAGGATGAATGTTACCGTTGAGAGTCCTTTACA